GCCTGTGACTCCATCTCCTTCTTGTATTGATCTTGTTCGGTAACTTTTTCTTTCTTCTCCACCTTGTTCTCCACCTTGTTGCTATTCGCATTGGACTCCGTTGAAGCTGTTGTCAAAGTAATCAACATGGGAAGTTCAAAGAATCAATGAGTGCAAGACTTACAGGCAGGGTTCTCATCCGAACTGTCTGATGTATTGTTCCCTCTGAAAGAACAAAGTCAGGATCGTCCTTGACAATGAGGAAAGGAAAATTGTGAGAAGGTTATCTTCAATAAGCATTGGTATCAACATCGTTCACGCTCCTCTTTTCCCGTTATCATCATTGTTGTCCTTGTGCATGATTCAAATCATCATCAACTCAATCTTCATCTCAATCATCTTTCAAGTCAACATAACAATTTGTGCCGTCGTTTCCATAATCACCTTTACCATCATCACAACCATCTTCATCACTTTGACCATCGTCTTCATCATGAACATTGCATAATAATCAACAGCAGCTACAACTTGAGCAGCAGCATCAGCTCCAACAACTTTACCACCACAGCCATCAATCAAGACTAACAACATTATGGAAGATTGTCATTGCAGTGAAAATGAAATTTTAGCTTGATAAACGATTCAAACCTCTTTAGAACTGACGGCAAATCCTTGTAAGAGCCGTAGGACTGGAGTTTACTTGGATCAAGGCCTGATGATTAACAGCCACGATTGAAATCATTACAAAATTCTCTTTCATCTCCTCAACAAGCATGTTTGACATCAAGATAAAGCTTTCTTTCATCTCCTCTCACCGATGTACTTGAAGTATCTCTCTGCTTCATCTTCTAAGAAATCCCAGTACCTTTGCAAGTTGATGTCAACGGCAGTTGATGTCAACGGCATCTTTTCGAACTCATTCACATCACAAAACTCACTCTTGATCAGTCATGTTTGGTTTCCTTCCTGGCTGGACAATCTCTGACTTGGGTTCTCCACACCACTTTACTCACGTTCTGCAATCAGCAACGAGACAATCATCACAGAAGACAACAACACCTCATCGATCTCAAAAGTGTAGCTGCAGTCTTTCCAGAAATCATCTTCGTCTGGTACAGATCTTCATGTCAAGACAATGTCTCTACGGTGATTACACACCGTTGGTTGTGTTTTGTTCCTCCTTTGGCCAATAAAATGTTTGCTGACCCATTCTCCTCTCCTCCTCATTCACTCCCTCTAGAAAAGGAACACTAGTGCCCTGTAAGACGGTCAACAGAAAAAGATTGAGATGGGGGAAGAGAGATTGTTGGCTACATCTGTCATGGTCTTTGACATCGTGTCTTCATTGTTCTCATCTTCAAAGGACAAAGTAAGATCGAAGACAAGATCCAGCAAGGAAAGTAAAGATGATGGGAAGAGGGAAAGATATTGGTGGAGTAGTTTATGATCAGTCAGGAGAGTGTTGAAAAGTTTGAATTGATCGCATCAAAGTGAAAAGGAATCGCGGAGCAAAACAAGAGGAAAGATGATGGAGACAAAGACGCTGGGAAATATCCAAGGTACAAAAGGAACAAACGAAGTCTCATACATGGAGGAGGCATCATACTGTCAGAGCTTGGAGGGGCATTCTCGTCCCTATGAGACAGAGAAACAAAAATGTCAAACAGCGCTACAACAAGCAACTTGTCATAGAAAACCTCTTCAACGCTCCCGATGATTCGTCCCCAAGGTTCAAACCAAACTTGAAAACAACGTCAATTCTAGCAGATCTTCCATCCACTCCAGACCTTCTTTGCAAGCTCATTGGCTAGCTCGTCTCCCTTCTGAATCCCTTCCTTCATTTCATTGTCGACATCCAAACACGGGACTTGATCGTTCTCTTCAACTTCAAAGTTTCCGAATTGATCAAGATCGGGGTCAGATGAGAATTCAAAGATATCCCTTCCTTCTCTTGCTCGCTCTTCAACACACAACAACCCCAGTCAGCACCCAACGAGTTTTCGCTGCCAAACTCGAAGTACCGAGCTCAGCCCCGTCGTCAGCCTCCACGGGCGACTTCTTCGGATCCTCCTTCCGAACACTCTCCATTGCGACGACATTGTTCGCTTGTTCGTCTCCTTGATCAGCGTCTTCTTCTTCATTGACGTCATCATTGTCATCTGTCAATCTCAGTGCCGTCCTGAAACGCCATCATCGGCGATCGGAGCAAGACAACAACAGCTCAGCGTTTCAACCTCTCGGTGATGTCCTCTATCTGCGTTCCACGGAAGTCTGAAGGACGAACAGCATTCAGCGCCAGGAGAGGAGAGGAGAGGAGAGGAGAGGAGAGGAGAGGAGAGGAGAGGACAGGAAAAGAGAGGACAGGACAGGAAAAGAGAGGACAGGACAGGAAAAGAGAGGACAGGACAGGAGAGGAGAGCAAAGAAAGAGAGAGCAGAGCAGAGCAGAGCAGAGGGATGCAGAGCAGAGGGATGAAGGAGATGGAGGAGATGAGATGAGGGGAGGGGAGGGGGAGATATATGGAGGAGATGGAGGAGAGGAGAGGGGAAGGAAGAAGAGAGGAGAGGGATGAAGCAGAAGGGGAAGGGAGAGGAGAGAGGTAGGGAAAAGAGATGCATGAAGGAGGAGAGGTGAGGTGAGAGGAAGGAGGATCAGAGGAAGGGGATGAAAGGGATGAAGCAGCGAGGGAGGAGGAAGTACCGGATCTGTCGATGCCGTCCTCCCTCAGCTGCCTCGCAATCTCGTCAAAAAGCTCCTGCACATGGGTTGTCATCGAGAGTTTCCTCTAGTACACGAGAATGGAGGGACCTGCTGCTCCTGAGCAAGCTCGTCATTGTTCTTGCCGCTGCTCTTCAGTCGGGCATCGACATTCTTGACGACCTTGACATGCCCATCACACTATGATCTACAAGTCTATCTCATCGAATTCACTTGGTTCAGCTTGAACGGGCTGTCCTCAGGCTTCCCTGCAAGGATGCTCTGCTCCCTCTCCTTCTGGGTGTCCTGCATACATCCACAACCTCACATCGAGCCCGCACTTCCTGCGTCAGCACCTTTCCAAGCTGTCTCCCCTTGATCTTTACGAGCTTGTCCTTGTCTGCCCTAGCGATCAGCGTTGTACCTTAGCTCCTCTCATCGCATCGCATCGTAACCTTGCTCTAGCACATCCTGTATGCTCCTTGCAGCTCTGTCGATGTCCTCCTCATCCAAGTCGAAGTCGCTGCCTCCCTCCCCTGCCCCCGCCTGCTTCTCACACAGATCGCATGAGCCGCTAGGAAGGTTCGAGCGTCAGCAAAACCTCAGCAAGGTCCCAAGCATCTGACTGTGCTGCTGCTGAACTTCTGTCAGCTCCCTCCCTCTCATCGCCGAATCTTGACTCTGACCTGTTCGAGCTGGTGGATTCTTCGCAGCCTTGCCCTTCCGTTGGAGCGGCCTTGTACTTGCTGTGCGTTTCCTGCACATGCAATCGTCATCCTTTACCCCCTCCAGACTCACCCCCTCCTGCCCCTGCCCCTGCCCCTGCCCCTGCTCCTGCTCCTGCTCCTGCTCCTGCTCCTGCTCCTGCTCCTGCTCCTGCTCCTGCTCCTGCTTCTAATCCTTGTTCCTTTCTCTTTCTTTACCTGAATCAAGTTCATCTCCCCTACCTCGTCGCCCTCACGCTACCTTTCATCCTCCTCCCCTCCTCGCGCTACCTTTCATCCTCCTCCCCTCCTCTGTTCCCTTTCCTCCTCCTCCATTTCCAGAACCAAGTCTCACCTAGTTCCTCCTCTCAGCCGTAGTGCGCTGTACACGTGTTCATCGACGCGACAGCATTTGCCCAACCCAAGAGGCTCAGTCCTGTTGTCTGCAAGAGAGAGGAGGAGGAGGACGATAACGGAGATAACTGCACAGCCATGCGGAAGAAGACATTGGTAGGAAGTCATGCCAGCATCGGTTTCCTAAGGTCACATCGAGCCAAGACTCTTCATTCCGATTTCATGCTGTGCTTTTGAGTGAGTTCAATGGACCTGTGAGGCTCTCTTGTGATATCGATGCTTTTTGGTGCAAGATCTATCGTTGCGACTGCTCGATGAGTTCCCTATCTTAAGAGTTCAAGGTGTTCCTTCCTTTGATTCTTTCAGGCTCCGATTCCTTCTCCATCTCCATTCTCATCTTCACCACCTCTTCTTGTTCTTGGTTCCTGTTCTTGATCTTGATCTTGTTCTTGTTCTTGTTCTTCTCTTCCTCCCGCAAGATCAGTTGTCCCGCGCAAGCCCCTTTGTATTGATCTCATCCGATTGAAACCGATTTTCATAAAGGCGTGTCACTGGCACCGGAAACGGTGATCATGAGTCGGCCCGGACGGCCCGGCCCCGGCGCCCGGCCTTGCGGCAGTTCCTTTCAATCTTTACTGGGTCAAGCCTCCTCGACTCTCCTGATTGTCCTCGTACTGATTTTTAACTTCACTTTGAGTAAAGAAGGACGTTCCGGGTGAGCTCGGCAGGCGGTCGTCGGGAGCCGGCCCGGTACGGTCCATGAGCCTCGCCGGAGGCGACTGCCAGTCGGAGTCCCGGGCCGGGCCGCGCCGCCGGGGCCAGGCCAGCGTCCATCCGAAGGTGTCGGACTTTATTACGGCACTCAAAACGTTCTGTCAACTTCCGTACCACCCCTCTCCTCCCCTTGAAAACAACCGTCCGCTCCACCCCTGGCTCCACCCCCCTACTACGGATGACGGCCCCCGTAGCCTGAGAGGTCGCAAGTCAAAATCAGTCTGTGGTATGAGTGCGGCAAGCAAGCAGCGGGTTCCGGCAAGGGACGGTGCTCGGACTCCGGGACGCCAAACCCTCGAAAGCAAGACACGCTCGGAGTCCTCTGAGAGTCTCAAGCACAAGCCTACCTCCATGCACGCGAGCAAGTCAAGTCTGCCACCCCCGACACCTGCCCTCCTCCTGACGCCCTGCATACACTGCGAGAGGCTTGCGTCCCTTGAGGACGACTGCCCCATCTTCCTTGACCTCAACTACCACCATAACTACACCAGGAAACAGCCTTCCTGCAAAAACAAAACCTACGCGCGAAGCCAGCTGAAATCCAAACAAATATGTGCCAGAGCGAACAATCACAACAAACGCTTGAAATAGAGATCAAAGAATCCTCAGAAAAATTCACCATCGATAAGCCCCCAGCCAAATGCAACGCAGATGAATTGCAAATCGAACCATCAAAGGCAACCAAGGAACTGAAAATCGATACCGAAGATGTAAAGCTTGGGTTTCAGCGTAGACCCTCCCTTCAGGACGACTGCCCCATCTTCCTTGACCTCGTCTTCCACCATAACATCCTCAAGCCAAATGACATCGACCGCTGCGGATCCTTCGCCATCCGTCGATCCTCCCTCACCTTCGGCGACGTCCTCGGCCAAGGCTCCTGCGGGGAGGTCAGGAGCGCCCTCTACAACGGCAGGCAGGTCGCCGTCAAGACCCTGTGCTCGAAGCTCGACGCCCGGTCCGAGGAGGGCAAGGACCTGCTCAAGGAGATCAGCATGATGAGCCACGCGTTCCGGCACAAGAACGTGGTGGACTTCTACGGCATCTACGAGCACGACGGGCTGCCGTGGCTGGTGATGGAGCTGATGCCGGGGGGAGCCTGGAGCAGTACTACGAGGCCAAGAAGAAGTCGCGACGGGACGGGCGCTGGCGGCCCAAGACGAGGAGGGCAGTGTCGTGGGTGGAGGACATCCTGAGCGCGCTGGCGTACCTGCACGCGCAGAAGCCGCCGGTGATCCACCGAGACATCAAGCCGGCCAACATGCTGCTGACGGGGGACGGGAGGACGGTGAAGATCGGGGACTTCGGGCTCAGCCGCATGTGTCCGCTGAGCCCGGGCAAGGCGCCGCTGACACCGGGAGGAGGCAGGGGGTCTGGCGGCTTCTTGTCGGACGAGTCGTTCATGTCGACGGAGCTGACAGGCACAACGGGGACGTACCGGTACATGGCGCCGGAGATCTTCCGGGGAGAGGGTCAGTACACGGCGGCGGTGGACGTGTACTCTTTCTCGCTGGTGATGTGGTACATCTTCGCCGGGGAGCATCCCTTCTGCAACATCGACGGACACTCGGTGGCCAGCATGGCGGCCAAGTACAACTTCCGTCCGGCAGTGCTGAGCGAGCGGATGATGCCGTGGGAGCTACAGGGGATGATGAGGCGATCATGGGCGGGGGAGGGGAAGGAGAGGCCGAGGGCGGCGGAGCTTCTGGAGGAGGTCGAGGCATGGCGAGGTAGGCGCGCGGGGTGTAGAGGTGTCTTCTCATGGAGATGAGGGTCAGGGAAGGAGTGATTTGGCTAAGGGAGCAAGACCTTGTCTAGTGTACTTTGTGGAGAGGAACTTTTGTACTTGAGTTTTTGAAAGATGGTAGTTTGAATTGGGAATGAACAGTGTGGTTTGCAAGTAAAGAGTTGTTTACTTGTTCCATCACATGCTTCCAAGATTGCCGCTGTCTCACATAGGCTGATGCACTTGATACATCATGCTTCCGGCTGTTTGCTGGGTTACAGGTCAGTTCTTTAGTCTGAGTCTGACGACTCACTCTCAAATGTACCAAGCTGTCACAGGTCTCCTGTGACTGAGCCCGGCACCCTGCGATCCGATCAGTCCTGAGATGACAGGCTTGTAGCCAGTTGCAGCAGCACCTAGCATGCGCTCAGCCGCATGTGTCCGCTGAGCCCGGACAAGGCGCCGCTGACACCGGGAGGAGGCAGGGGGTCTGGCGGCTACTTGTCGGACGAGTCGTTCATGTCGACGGAGCCGACAGGCACAACGGGGACGTACCGGTACATGGCGCCGGAGATCTTCCGGGGAGAGGGTCAGTACACGGCGGCGGTGGACGTGTACTCTTTCTCGCTGGTGATGTGGTACATCTTCGCCGGGGAGCATCCCTTGGAAATATACTTTTGTTGCGGATCATTCTACGCTCAGGGGGACTACAGGCTGAGGGCGGTGGAGCTTGTGGAGGAGATCGAGGCTTTCAGTGCGGGGTCCGCGCGCTGGATCCGTCACTGAGTGACGAGTCACACACTAGACTCCCGGTCCACGACGGTTGGCAATCATGACTGTCGTGGGGCGGGCCCGGCCTGGCAGTGGATTCTCATCGATGAGACAGGATGAGACAGCATTTGGCCCACCCAAGAGGTTCAGTCCTGTTGTCTGCAAGAGAGAGGAGGAGGAGGACGATAACGGGTGGTAACTTAGCGCTGACGTTCGGTTGGTAGGAAGTCATGCCAGCATCCGGTGTGACACGCCTTCATGAAACTTTCGGAATCGGTTTCAACAGTACCGGAGGACGTTCCGGGCCGGCCCGGCGTGAGCTCGTGGGCTGAGTTGTCACTAGTAGAACTGCCGGCCCGGTACGGTCCATGATGAAGCCCCGGGCCCGCCGGGCCCGCGGGGCAGCCTCCGCTGTACGGCCGGGCCGTGGCCCCACAGCGGACGGTCGCTGCATCAGGTAGGGTTGCAGGCAACTTGAGGCATTCCGTTCGGTGCCACGGTGGCGGCGACTCAGTCCCGGGCCGGGCTGCCGGGGCCAGGCCAGCGTCTGATCATCGGATCATGTGTTGTACCCACGGCACTCAGTGGCAGGCTTCAACCGGGACGATGTGACGGTAACAGCATCATGCCGAAATAGCGAAAACTAGAAGGACAATATGAAGTTTTATATGAAATACCTCCGGTACCGTGTCGGGTACATTTTGGTACTTCATCAGGCAAAATACCGACTGTTATGCATACTATGCCCAACGTGGCAGGGCGCATCTTGTACCGGGTGGACCTGGCGGCTACTATCGTAAACTCAGCACGGTACATACAACAGATATACGGTACTACGAGGATGAGGCTTGACCGTACGGTACATTATTAGCAAGATCTTCACTGTGACGACACTATTCTTAAGTTTGAGTAAATTGAAACCTGGAGAGCAGCGCGTCCATCGAAGGTGACTTTATATTACCGCACTCAACTTGAGCCGTTGAAGCTTGGCTGAGTCAGCCGGGAAGGGCCCGGGCCGGGCCCCCACCGTCAGTCTCTTTGTTTTATTTTTGTCGTAAACTTCCGACGTGATCGCTCGGTACGTTCTGTCAACTCAGTTCGGTACCACCCCTCTCCTCCCCTTGAAAACAACCGTCCGCTCCACCCCCCTACTACCGTACGGATGACGGCCACCGTACCCTGAGAGGTCGCAAGTCAAAATCATCTCTTTTTGCCTCCGGAGGCTCTCCTCTCCCCTCCTCTCCCCTCCCCACGGGCCAGGCTAGGCTAGCGGCGAGTTCCGGCAAGGGACGATGCCATGATGCTCGGACGCCGACCCCTCGAAAGCAAGACGCGCTCCTCTCAAGCACAAATACTGAGAGAGGCTTGCGTCCCTTGAGGACGACTGCCCCATCTTCCTTGACCTCAACTACCACCATAACTACACCAGGAAACAGCCTTCCTGCAAAAACAAAACCTACGCGCGAAGCCAGCTGAAATCCAAACAAATATGTGCCAGAGCGAACAATCACAACAAACTGAATTGCACTGCAGTAGCAGGCATTCCCGGCGTACTCCGGGCTCCCCGGCGACTCAGTCCCGGGCCGGGCTGCCGGGGCCAGGCCAGCGTCTGATGTTGAGTACCCATGACATCGTTGCACTTGTAACGATAAAGGGCAATATGAAGTTTTATATGTCAAATACCTCCGGTACCGTGTCGGGTACATTTTGGTACTTCATCAGGCAAAATACCGACCGTACTGTTTATGACGGCTTTACTCAAAGTTAAGTTACTGAAAATCAGTACGAGGACTGTCAAGTTATGCATACTATGCCCAACGTGGCACTGTCAGGGCGCATCTTGTACCGGGTGGACCTGGCGGCTAGTCGTACTACGGTAAACTCAGCACGCCGGGTACATACAAGCACTCAACTTGAGCCGTTGAAGCTTGGCTGAGTCAGCCGGGAAGGGCCCGGGCCCCCGGGTGACTGTCAGTAAAAACCGTGTCAGTCTTGGAAGAAGTTTGTTTTATTTTTGTCGTAAACTTCCGACGTGATCGCTCGGTACGTTCTGTCAACTTCCGTACCACCCCTCTCCTCCCCTTGAAAACAACCGTCCGCTCCACCCCCCTACTACCGTACGGATGACGGCCACCGTACCCTGGGAGGTCGCAAGTCAAATTCATCTCTTTTTGCCTCCTCTTCTCTCCCCTCCCCTCCTCTCCCCTCCCCTCTCCTCGCCTCGCCTCTCCACTCCTCTCAGTCGGCTGTGGTGAGTGCGGCAGGCTAGCGGCGAGTTCCGGCAAGGAACGATGCCATGATGCTCGGACGCCGAACCCTCGACTGCTAGACACGCTCCTCTCAACTTCACAAATACTGAGAGAGGCTTGCGTCCCTTGAGGACGACTGCCCCATCTTCCTTGACCTCAACTACCACCATAACTACATCTTTCCTAGGAAACAACCTTCCTACAAAAACAAAACCTACGCGCGAAGCCAGCTGAAGTCCAAACAAATATGTGCCAGAGCGAACAATCACAACAAACACTTGAAATTGAACCTTCAAAGGCAACCAAGGAACTGAAAATCGATACCGAAGATGTAAAGCTTGGGTTTGTGCGTAGACCCTCCCTTCAGGACGACTGCCCCATCTTCCTCGACCTCGTCTTCCACCATAACATCCTCAAGCCAAATGACATCGACCGCTGCGGATCCTTCGCCATCCGTCGATCCTCCCTCACCTTCGGCGACGTCCTCGGCCAAGGCTCCTGCGGGGAGGTCAGGAGCGCCCTCTACAACGGCAGGCAGGTCGCCGTCAAGACCCTGTGCTCCAAGCTCGACGCCCGGTCCGAGGAGGGCAAGGACCTGCTCAAGGAGATCGGCATGATGAGCCACGCGTTCCGGCACAAGAACGTGGTGGACTTCTACGGCATCTACGAGCACGACGGGCTGCCGTGGCTGGTGATGGAGCTGATGCCGGGGGGGAGCCTGGAGCAGTACTACGAGGCCAAGAAGAAGTCGCGACGGGACGGGCGCTGGCGGCCCAAGACGAGGAGGGCAGTGTCGTGGGTGGAGGACATCCTGAGCGCGCTGGCGTACCTGCACGCGCAGAAGCCGCCGGTGATCCACCGAGACATCAAGCCGGCCAACATGCTGCTGACGGGGGACGGGAGGACGGTGAAGATCGGGGACTTCGGGCTCAGCCGCATGTGTCCGCTGAGCCCGGGCAAGGCGCCGCTGACACCGGGAGGAGGCAGGGGGTCTGGCGGCTTCTTGTCGGACGAGTCGCCCATGTCGACGGAGCTGACAGGCACAACGGGGACGTACCGGTACATGGCGCCGGAGATCTTCCGGGGAGAGGGTCAGTACACGGCGGCGGTGGACGTGTACTCTTTCTCGCTGGTGATGTGGTACATCTTCGCCGGGGAGCATCCCTTCTGCAACATCGACGGACACTCTGTGGCATGTATCAGTGCTGAGAATGACATGCGGCCCGAAGTGCTGTACAGGATGCGGATACCGAGAGAGCTACAGGGGATGATGAGGCGATCATGGGCGGGGAAGGGGAAGGAGAGGCCGAGGGCGGCGGAGCTTCTGGAGGAGGTCGAGGCATGGCGGATAAGGGATGAGACATCATGCTGGTTGAAGGTACCTTGGAGATAAGGTCACAGGACGAGCTGAGTTGGGGGAATATACTTTTGTTGCGTCATTCTACGCTCAGGGGGACTACAGGCTGAGGGCGGTGGAGCTTGTGGAGGAGATCGAGGCTTTCAGTGCGGGGTCCGCGCGCTGGATCCGTCACGTGTAGAGCTCCAATCATGGCATCGCCGATGATCATAAATATGCTTTTGGATGAAGGGCCTGATCGAAACTCTCAGCTGACCCTCTTGTAAAGTTTCGATGACATGAGTCGTGACGCGGAACTTGGCGACATGGCCCGTCATAACGCAAACCGTAACTTACCCGGCAACTTTCACCATCACCGCAACTTGCCTCTTGATTGACTGAGAAAGAAAGGCAAACCTTGCCAGTTGGCAATCATCTCTGTCGTGGGGCGGGTCCGGCCGGGCGGGTTGTCGGGGAAGTACTGGAATTAAATCAACCAGATGAATTCTTCGAATTAATCGATTGCTTCTAATCCTTGTTCCGTTCTCTTTCTTTACCTGAATCAAGTTCCTCCTCGCGCTCAGTACCTTTCATCCTCCTCCCCTCCCCTGTTGCCTTTCCTCCTCCCGGAGTCCACCATTTCCAAAACCAAGTCTCACCCAGCTCCTCCTCTCAGTCGTAGTGCGCAGGCTGTACACGTGTTCATCGATGAGACAGCATTTGGCCAACCCATGAGGCTCAGTCCTGTTGTCTGCAAGAGAGAGGAGGAGGAGGACGATACTACGGAGGTAACTACACAGCCATGCGGAAGAAGACGTTGGTAGGAAGTCATGCCAGCATCTTGTGTGACACGCCTTCATGAAAATCGGTTTCAACAGTACCGGAGGACGTTCCGGGTGAGCTCGTGGGCTGAGTTGTAGAACGGCGCCGGCCCGGTACGAGCCCGCCGCCGGGCCCGCGGGGCCGGGCACTGCGCGCTGAGTAGCACTTCCCGGGCGACCGTCCGACGGTCCGGCCGCCGGCTGTACGGCCCGGCCGTGGTCACGGCGGACGGTCGCTGCATCAGGTAGGGTTGCAGGCAACTGGCAAGGGCATTCCGTTCGGTGGCGGCGACTCAGTCCCGGCCGGGCCGGGCTGCCGGGGCCAGGCCAGCGTCTGATGTTGTACCCACCGGGCACTCAGTGACTTGTAACGATGTAACAGCATCATCAGTGCCGAAATAGCGAAAACTATAAGGGCAATATGAAGTTTTATTTGAAATACCTCCGGTACCGTGTCGGGTACATTTTGGTACTTCATCAGGCAAAATACCGACTGTTATGCATACCATGCCCAACCGTGGCAGGGCGCATCTTGTACCGGGTGGAACTGGCGGCTAGTCGTAAACTCAGTACGGTACATACAACAGGTATACGGTACTACCGTGATACAACAGGTATACGGTACTACGAGGATGAGGCTTGACCGTACGGTACATTATTAGCAAGATCTTTACGACACTATTCTTAAAAGTTTGAGTAAATTCAAACCTGGAGAGCAGCGCGTCCATCGAAGGTGACTTTATATTACCGCACTCAACTTGACTCGCGGGCGGCCGTTGAAGCTTGGCTGAGTCAGCCGGGAAGGGCCCGGGCCCCCGGGTGACTGTCAGTAAAAACCGTGTCAGTCTTGGAAGAAGTTTGTTTTATTTTTATCGTCAACTTCCGACCTGATCGCTCGGTACGTTCTGTCAACTTCCGTACCACCCCTCTCCTCCCCTTGAAAACAACCCCCCGCTCCACCCCTGGCTCCACCCCATGACGGCCCCGTAGCCTGAGAGGTCGCAAGTCAAATTCATCTCTTTTTCCCTCCTCTCCTCTCCCCTTCCCTCCCCTCCCCTCCTCTCCCCTCCCCTCTTCTCTCAGTCGGCTGTGGTAAGTGCGGCAGGCTAGCGGCGAGTTCCGGCAAGGAACGATGCCATGATGCTCGGACGCCGAACCCTCGACTGCAAGAAACGCTCCTCTCAAGCAAAAATACTGAGAGAGGCTTGCGTCCCTTGAGGACGACTGCCCCATGGAAAGAACCTTCCTGCAAAAACAAAACCTACGCGCGAAGCCAGCTGAAGTCCAAACAAATATGTGCCAGAGCGAACAATCACAACAAACTGAATTGCAAATTGAGCCATCAAAGGCAACCAAGGAACTGAAAATCGATACCGAAGATGTAAAGCTTAGATTTCAGCGTAGACCCTCCCTTCAGGACGACTGCCCCATCTTCCTTGACCTCGTCTTCCACCATAACATCCTCAAGCAAAATGACATCGACCGCTGCGGATCCTTCGCCATCCGTCGATCCTCCCTCACCTTCGGCGACGTCCTCGGCCAAGGCTCCTGCGGGGAGGTCAGGAGCGCCCTCTACAACGGCAGGCAGGTCGCCGTCAAGACCCTGTGCTCCAAGCTCGACGCCCGGTCCGAGGAGGGCAAGGACCTGCTCAAGGAGATCGGCATGATGAGCCACGCGTTCCGGCACAAGAACGTGGTGGACTTCTACGGCATCTACGAGCACGACGGGCTGCCGTGGCTGGTGATGGAGCTGATGCCGGGGGGGAGCCTGGAGCAGTACTACGAGGCCAAGAAGAAGTCGCGACGGGACGGGCGCTGGCGGCCCAAGACGAGGAGGGCAGTGTCGTGGGTGGAGGACATCCTGAGCGCGCTGGCGTACCTGCACGCGCAGAAGCCGCCGGTGATCCACCGAGACATCAAGCCGGCCAACATGCTGCTGACGGAGGACGGGAGGACGGTGAAGATCGGGGACTTCGGGCTCAGCCGCATGTGTCCGCTGAGCCCGGGCAAGGCGCCGCTGACACCGGGAGGAGGCAGGGGGTCTGGCGGCTTCTTGTCGGACGAGTCGTTCATGTCGACGGAGCTGACAGGCACAACGGGGACGTACCGGTACATGGCGCCGGAGATCTTCCGGGGAGAGGGTCAGTACACGGCGGCGGTGGACGTATACTCTTTCTCGCTGGTGATGTGGTACATCTTCGCCGGGGAGCATCCCTTCTGCAACATCGACGGACACTCTGTGGCATGTATCAGTGCTGAGAATGACATGCGGCCCGAAGTGCTGTACAGGATGCGGATACCGAGAGAGCTACAGGGGATAATGAGGCGATCATGGGCGGGGAAGGGGAAGGAGAGGCCGAGGGCGGCGGAGCTTCTGGAGGAGGTCGAGGCATGGCGGATAAGGGGTGAGACATCATGCTGGTTGAAGGTACCTTGGAGATAAGAGCACAGGACGAGCTGAGTTGGGGGAATATACTTTTGTTGCGTCATTCTACGCTCAGGGGGACTACAGGCTGAGGGCGGCGGAGCTTGTGGAGGAGATCGAGGCTTTCAGTGCGGGGTCCGCGCGCTGGATCCGTCACGTGTAGAGCTCCAATCATGGCCGCGCATCGCCGATGATCATAAATATACTTTTGGATGAAGGGCCTGATCGAAACTCTCAGCTGACCCTCTTGTAAAGTTTCGATGACATGAGTCGTGACGCGGAACTTGGCGACATGGCCCGTCATAACGCAAACCGTAACTTACTCGGACTCGGCATTTCATCATCACCGCAACTTGCCTCTTGATTGACTGGTTGGGTGACTGAGAAAGAAAGGCAAACCTTGCCAGTTGGCAATCATCTCTGTCGTGGGGCGGGTCCGGC